CCCCCGAGTCCCTGTGCAGCCCTGAGCCTGAGCCTGGCTCCTGCTCCCTCTGCCCTGCTGCGAGCCAGGCAGGATGAACAAGCAGCCTGCACCCCGCAGGCGCCTCCTGTCCCCACGGCCCCCGACCGTCCTTCACGCCCCACTCCCACCCGCATGGCTGCCCCCGGAGCACGCTGGGCGCACCCCACCTCCGGAGGCCCCTGAGCCGCGGCGTTGGAGGACTGAGCATCGCTTTCGCCGCCAGTCCCGTGTGCGCTGCTGCAGAGGCCGGTCTGCCCGCATTTGCCGCGCTCTGCGCCGAAGGTTCCTGCCTGGCCACCGGCCCCTTCCGGCTCCGCGCCAGCGCGGTGGACACCGGCTCTCCTGTGAGCAGCTCGTGGGCCCTTGGCTCCGGACGTCACCAAGGCACAGAAGGCACAGTCTGCAGCCGTGAGGGACGGCACCCAGGACCCCTCCACCCCTTCCTCTCCTGCCGCTGAGACAGATCACAGCCCAGAAGGACGGAGTGGGGGCCTTGGTGTGGAGTCACCGTAAAGTGTGAATACGCACTTCCTCTGCGTGTGCACGTGTTTCACCGCCCTTCGGTGGACCGTGGGAGGGCTCCCTCAGAGTACAGAGCACCTCCCATCGCGTCTGCACCCTCCCAGTGCCTTCAGGAGCAGAGACCCCCGTTCCACCTGACCCTCCCCCTGGAACAACCGCTCACCTCCTCTGCATGGATGGCGGGGGCTCTCAGGAGGCTGTGCAGCAAGACTGGGGGCAAGAAGGGGCCGAGAAGGGGCAGGCCCAGGAGACTGGTGTGTGGGTGGGAGGCCAGAGGGCCTGCTCCCTACAGACTGCATCTAGAACATTCTGTCCTGACCTGTGTGTCTAAGTCAGGTCTTCCCACCTGACTTATGTGGGACTTATCCCATCTATGTGATCAGCGCACAAACTGAACAGCTAACCGTTTGCTCATAACAGCCATGAGGTCGAGCCTCTTGGAAAGAACGGGGGCAGCTCCTCACAAGTACCGTACATTCTGTTAGGAGACCTAATGCAACGTGGCACCGGTCTGGCCCCTGGGTATCTGCCCACGCGCCTTCCTTTGTGGCTTAGCTGTTGCTGGCCCGACAGAGGGTGGGGCGGTGCAGCATGTGAGACACAGGGCAGTGTAGCGCCCAGCCGTGTGGTATTCTCCAGAAACTTCGTTCCACTTGGCTAGACCTCGTCTGGTCCCCAAATGTCCTGTTTCTGCACTATTACGGGTCAGGGCTGCATAACAGAACACCATGCCAGGCTCCGCCCCCAGTGACCGTCTCTCATCATCTCATCCCACCAAACACGTCCTTAATGTGAGCTGAGGCGTAAGGTTAGACACGAGCACACACGCCAGCAGGATGGCTCTGGGGCTGGAACGCGGACCACGCGGCCAGGCGTCGCGCGCACATCCCCTGGCAGCTTGTGGGCTCCCGGCCTGTGTGCGTCAGTGTCTCTAGGGAGCTCCCCACCCTGACATCCTGGGGTTAGCCATTCTCTGGGGCGGCTCTGCCTTTCGGTTGGTGGGAGTGAGGCGTGCCCCACTGCTCGAGGCCGGCGGGAGGCTGAGGGGCACAGAAACCCAGTAGACCACACGTGTCCCAGGCCCCGTGCACAGTCTGATCTCTGCTGAGATCCCCGACTCACTATCTCACAGAGGGGACTGAAGCCCAGCAAGGTCACATGACCCGCTCAGAGCCACACGGCCCCGAGCTGGCTCCCGTGGCCTGTCTTCTCCCACTCAGCTCTGGGGCCGTGTGCATTTATTCTCCAAGATGCCTTGGGAGAGAGGTCAGGGGAGAGCTCATCGAGGGGTCCAGGTGACTTCACGGTGCCTTAGAGGACAGGCAAGACCTGCACAGGCAGGCAGAGGGAAAGGGAGCCCAAGCAGGGAGAAAAGTAGGCCGCAAAGCAGGAGTTAGTGCCGAGTCTGGGAGGGCCCTGAGCGCAGGCTTCAGGCGTGAGCTTACCCGACAGGTAAGCCATGAGGCGCCAGCAGGGGCTCTGACCGAGGATGACAGAAGGGAGTGGCATTTCAGGAGGCTAAGGTCTGGGGTGGATGGGAGCCAGCCGGGGCTGGAGGCCGGGGCAGTGCCACCACTCGCACGTGCCCACGCTGCCGCTGGGCCCCTCTGGGGGGCCGAACGCAGAGACCGGAGACAGGGGCCTTCAGGCAGCGGCCGGGTCTAGAGGGGCCGGTCCCAGCACCGCTTCTGAACCCGGGTGCGGATGGGCGCCTGGTGGGGCGACCGTAAAGAAACCAGAGCTCGGCAGCGAGCACGCCTGCCGTACAGGGCACGGGCGTCAGGAAGCAGGTGAGGGTGCAGGGCAGGTCAGGACCAAGAGCCATGGCCACCGGGCCCTAGGACGCGCTCTTTATCACAGGGGTCCGGAAAGCTCTAGAACTCCCCACGAATTCAAGCCACCGTGTGGTTTCTCCCAGGGAGACCTGTACCGTGAGCCCTGACTGTGCAGCACGGACTCCCCGTAGAGCAGGCGGGAAGCTGTCGTGGCGCCTCAACACTGGCAGATCACAGAACGGGCTACGGGAGGCGCACGACCACGCCGGCCCGGAACAGCAACGTTCCACCGGGAGCCTCAGCTTCCGAAAGGGCTCCCGGGTCTCCGAGCACGAGACCCGCTCAGCGGCCGTCCTCTCTCCTCTCAGATCCGGACGCGTCAGGCGGCACGCTGACCCCGCCGACCAAGACCTTACCTGTGCCTGCCTTTCCTGCTCGGCGCACGGATGCGGTAACAGATGACCTGTCCACCGAGCGAGGCCACCTTTGAGCAGCTCCGATGGGAACGTGTCATCAACGGTGAGTCCTGCCATCTCGATTTCCTTTACAAAACCAAAGTTCACACCGTTGTTCTTCAGCAACAGAAGTATCAGTGACAGGCGTTTGATAAATAGTCCGAGGTGACAAGGTCTCCCGGCCACGTGGTGGGGACTTCGGTGAGTCCAGTCAACCAGCTTCCTGTGGCCTGTCTTCACACTGGGGGGGGGGGGGTTCCTGACCAGCAGTCACCTCCCCAGCCCTGAGAACGGGGGACACCAAGAGCTTTCCCCGCACTGCTCACCGCCTCCCCTGGTGACGCGGGACTCTCTCGGAGCCGGGACGGAAACGTCTACAGGGCAGTCTCACCGAGTCCCCACGGCTTTGGTCCTATCCGTTCTGAGATCCGGGCCTCAGTCCTGTCACTCCCGTGACTCCCACAGGAGGATGTGCTTTCGTATCTCAGGATTCGTAAATGGATGTCAGGCGTGGAGTCCTTAAATTACGTAAATTATGACTCAGAAATGAAGACTGTCCTGAGTGGTGAGGAATTAGAGCAGACGCAGGATATTTCATTTCGATAATCAGCACAATCCCAGGCACAGCACTGTATTCTTTTTTTCTTGTTGTTTTTAAAGGTTTTATTTCTTTAGGGTAACCTTTACACCCGGCGCGGGGCTCAAACTCACAACCCCGGGATTGAGAGTCACGCGCTCTAGTGGCTGAGCCAGCCGGGCGCCCCCACGGCACCGCGTTCTTACACGGACGGTCCTGCTTTGTCTGCTCAGTGACCCCAAAGGACACTAACGAGCATCCACGGCGTACAGAGACAATGCGGCTCAGTTCGGCGGCTTGCCTGGGCTCACCTGCTAGCTAAGCACCAAGAACAGACAGAAAGCTGGGTCCTCCAGCCTCTACGGTGTGCGTTCCTCAGCATCCGGTTTAGCGAGGGTCGCCCTTAACGGCCCCACAACAGAGGCCCCTGAGTGCCCTGGGAAGGACTCCGAGACCACAGCTGGCCTTCGCTGTCAGGCTGTCCCTGCCAACCAGTCTGTGCTCCCCAGGAGCAGTGGGGCTTGTGGGAGGAGGAGAGAGGTGCGTGTGTGTACGTAGAGTGAGGACGGGGGTGCACGCGTGTGTGCGTGGAGTGAGGACAGGGGTGGACAGGACCCACCTTCGGTGAAAACCACCTGAGCTCTGGGCTCACAGAGACTCTGTTCGCCGGATCTCTGGGACCTCGGGCGGCTGACTCAACCACAGGGAAGCTTCAGTTTGCTAATCTGTAAAGTGGCCGGCAGTACCCACGGAGGGGCTGGCTGGGCATGGCGCCTGCTCAGGGCGAGTGGTGCTCGATGTACTTCTGACCCTTCTCCGACTTTGCTCCGGGGTGTTATGGCAGAAAGCCCTACGCCCCGAGGGTGGGAGGGGGGCAGAGGCCGCCTGGGCTCAGCCCACAAGGGTGGGATTGCCGTCCTGGGAGAGACAGGAGTGAGGAGGGCACTCATCACTCCGTCGCCAAGGGGTCCAGGAAAGGTCATCCCGGATCAGCGATGCTCTTGGCGAGAGGGTGTCGTCCCTCCCCTCGTGCACTGCTGGACCGCTGCTTCCAGATGTGTGTCCTTTGTGCCTCCACACACATTCAGGTGCCCTTTCCAGCAAGACACCAGCAAGTCACGCTAGTATCGGCCAAGCTGAAAGAACACTCTTGATGGTTTTATCGACCCTTTTCCTACTGCCACAGGACGATTTCTAAAATAATCTGTTTCAGTGCCTTGCCCACGGAAACCTGTAGATTCACATTTAGCAATGTGCGTCCTAATCACGTCAAAGCCAACGGGACTTAATACCATCAAAACGGAGCTACTGTGAAAAACTCAACCTTTTAACAGACACCTGACACAAAACGTTTTCTATTTCCTAAAGACGGAATTACCACTGAGTCCCAGGCCGCCCCTGCAGGGCCCACCCCCTGTAGCTCAGGTGCCCGGCAGGGGGCGGGGAGGGGAGAGCCCGTACCTGTAGAAAGATCCGGCCGATACCACTCAGTAGCTGGGGCTCCTGCTCGGGGTAATACTGGATGACTGAGCGATAGGCATCCACAGCCAGCACGTAATCCTACGGGGACAGAACCCGAAAGAGCATTTTGGGTTAGGAAGATCACCGTTTTACGAAATTAGAAGCTCAAGTGCCTGCAGATTCACATGTGAAGATAGGGCACGTCGACCCGCGAGCCGGGAGGATGCGGAAACCTAGTGCTGGGCCTGGGAGGTGGGCGCAAGCCTGCCTGACCACGTGGCGGACGGGACCCCGAGTTTTGTTCGTGACCAGACTCGGCAAATGCCTGCCTCTCCCTCAGGGGCTGAGGTCCGTCTTGCTTCCAGTTTCTAAATAGCAATTAGCAATTCACCTGGACTCTCGCTTTCTTTCTTGGCAAAATTAAGTGAGTTGGTGAATTACACCTTGTCATCACTGCCGATGACATAAACCAAATTTATTTATTTTTCATTTAATTTTTTAAATGTTTGTTTTTGAGAGAGAGAGAGAGAGAGAGAGAGTGTGAGTGAGGGAGGAGCAGAGAGAGAGGAAGACACAGAATCCAAAACAGGCTCCAGGCTCCGAGCTGTCAGCACCGAACCCGACGCGGGGCTCAAACCCATGAACTGTGAGATTGTGACCTGAGCCGAAGTTGGACACTTAACTGACTTGGCCACCCATGTGCCCCTAAACCACATTTATCAATAGCATCTCTTAAACGTTTTCTATGCTAAAAGTTGAGGAAAAGTTCTTATGTTTAAACAGAAACCCCCACCAAACAACTTAGCTGAGAGCGAGCACGAGACCCAGGGCAGGCTCGCTGGGGAGAGCGCTGGAATGTGGTGCGGGGACTCTCTGAGCGCACCAGGGAGGTGTACTTGGGGCACTCAGCAGGCTCCGCTGGCCACGGTGCTTGGCTGTGCACCCCAGCAGCTGCCCTCTCTCACTGCGTCGGGAGCACCCTTCACGCTGCCCTGGGGGACTGGGTAGGGCCCGACCATCTCTGCACCCCCTGCTGTGCTCCCAACGCCGGCCCGCTGGGACACTAACGGAACCCCTGTTCGTCCGTAAGAGGCGGGGCCAGTCGCCCAGGACACGGCCCTTGGCCCCTCTCGGGTCCCCCAGCAAAGCCAGGCTCTCCAGAACAGCCGTGATCTCTGTGACGCCTGCGGAGCAGGCTCCGTGACGGGCACTGTGCTGTTCCTGAGTCCCAGCACACGGCCGGCAGGAAATGTTGGCTGCAGGCACTTTTCTCCTGGCTTGGTCTTCATTCCTCCACATTCTCAGTTACTAGCTTGCTAACTGGAATGGTGATAGAGACAGGTGACAAGTAAAATTTCAGTTTAGCAGGAAAAGAGTGAAAACCTTTCCAGTCGGGCCCTTTCAAGGAAAACCCATTAAGACAAATTTTACTGAAGGTGTGGTGCTCACAAGGAGCCTCACAGCACCTGCCATCCTCTCCTGGGGCCCCTGCTGCCCACAGCAGGGCTGTGCTGTTTCCAGTGCTGTGTGTGCACACGTGTATAAGCAGGCACAAGTGTGTCAGTGCACTCACAAGTGAGTGCAAGTAAGCGCATGAGTGTGCATGCAAGCACGAGTGTGAGAAACCAAGCCGGTGCGTGAATGTGTGCCCAAGTGTGAGCACAAGCATGAGTGTGAGAAACCACGGAGGTGCGTAAGTGCACAAGTGTGAGCACAAGCATGAGAGCAGGTGTGGGCACGGGGGTGCACAAGCATTAGCAAGTATGTGCATGCAAGTGTGAACGTGCGAACGTGCACTACCGTGTATGCATCAGCGTGTGAGCAAGTGGGTGTGTAAGAGCATGAGTGTGAACAAAACATCTGTGTACACGTGTGCATGCTAGCGTAAACGTGTGTAGGTGTGCGTTTGCAAGCATGAGCAAGTGTGTGCGTGTGATCAGGTGTGTGCCTGAGGTATGTGTGTGCGCACTCAGAGGCCCCTCCCCTGGGGGGGGGCTGAGGCCCCAGCAGAGGGTGCCCAGGGTGCCCCCACAAGCACGAGGCCTACCCAGACGCCTGCTGGTGGGGAAGTCACCTGCTGTGATTTAACACCCAGCCCTCGCTGTTGGTTTCCAGTCCACAGAAGACCCTTCTGTCGTTGGTGTTAGCGCCCGAGGGTCACTGATCCAGGCCAGTCCACGTGCCGCAGGTCCTGGCTTGTGCGTCACTCACTCTACCGACCTCCCAGCCGAGCCGGAGCCAGGACGTGCGGGGCGGTACCTGCCCACTTCTGGCTGGCAAGTCCGGGGAAGCCAACGTCGCCGTCTGACAACCGTGTTTCAGTGCTTGAGGCCAGGAGTCCGTGTTTCCGAAGATAATGTGCCGTGGAAAGAACTAAGCAAGGACCCCTGACGGAGTAACGGCCTCGTGGATCTGTGAAAACACGACCTCCTGGGAGAACCCTCCAGGGCGGATCCGCAGGCGCGGGGGGCGCGTGGGAAGGCTGGCTTCCCCGCGAGATCACTGCGGTCCCGGTGCCGCTCTGGACGCCCAGGAGCGGCCGCAGCCTCGGGGACGGCCTCCGCGATGCTTCCAGGGGCCCTGGGCTCAGATAACGCGGGGGTGAGTTGCAGAGCTGACGGTCACTGCCGGAAATGGCTTGCTTCCTGGAAGCGGAGGAAATGCGGCCCCTCGAAAGGAAAACGCTCAAGGTCGCTGTCCCACTCCGCCCCGCTGCAGACCACGCGACCGGCTCTGAGAAAGGCCGCGAGTGACCTGCTCAGGGGGACGGGCCTGGGTCGGCTCGGGCGCACCCGTCTCCCTTCAGCAGCTCCGCCGGCTTGGGGGCCGTGAAGCTGGGCTCACGACCATCTGCAGCCAGAAAGGGTTTGCGTGGGGAGACTGAGGCGGGAAGAAGCTGGTCCACGCGCCCGCACGGTCCCTCCGTGACCTGAGGCGCCCCGACGGGCGGCCCAGGAGTGGGGGGGGACGTGGGATCCTCGGGGGCACACCTGACGCCGCAGGCACATCACCCGCAGGGCCGACCCGCACAGGCGCCCCGCCCTCCGCGAGTCTGGGGACGAGAGCTGCATTTGAGACATCACACCGGTGCACACGTCCCAGGCCGCGTCACACACATAACCGTGCCCGATGTCGTACGGACACGTCCCTGGCCACGTGACGCAGGGAACCGGGCCTGACGGTACGTCGTGCGGACACGTCCCGGGCCACGTCACACACGTAACCACTCCCGACGTTGTCGTGCGGGCACGTCCCCGGCCGCATCACACACGTAACCGCCCCGACAGTACGTCATATGGACACGTCGCCGGCCACGTGACACAAGTAACCACGCCCCACGGTACGCTTTGCGGGTACTTGGGGCTGAAACGTCCGCTTCTCATCAGAAGGAAGTTAGTATTTATTTCCCCGTAACAGAGCCGGCCCTCAGAGTGATGAAACGGCCGAGTAGAGGGGCCACCGGCGGCCGTGCACGAACCCCGTGGACAGGACCCCGCAGTGCCGCGCGCGTTCACCATGGCAACAGGGCACAAACTACTCGGAGACCTTTGCCAAACGTGCACTTGAACTCAAGGAAATGAAGATTCGTCTAAAATCTCAAATTGCATTCATCAGAAAGCATTTTTGCAGCAATAATATGTTCGGTATGGAGTCCCAGCGAAGTCTGTAGAAAACTTACATTCGGTGCTTAAGGGCATTGTTACCACCACGGCGCAACAAAGAAATCCTCCCATAATGTGCTATTAACATCTTAACAATGCAAATAAAAGTTGGCAGGGGGACAGGTAGCATCCCTCCTGGGGAGTTTTGACCCCGTGACTGAAGAAAAGTCAGCCCTGTGAATTTACAGTTTGCTCTCTCCGCATCAGCAGCTGGCTTTCTGGTGCGGGCGACGGGGTTCCAGGAGCTGGCGACAGTCATCAGCAGGCTGGGGACAACGGCCTGCTTGGAGGGCATCCGCCCACGCACATGCCGGGGGTGGCCCGCCCTGGGGTGCGAGACGAGGGACACGGTCACCGCAGGGGCGGCCAAGCCACCCTGTCAGAAACGCCAGGTGTGCGGACTGAAGGGAGACCTGAGCTCCTTGGCCGTGTGTGCCTGGGGGGCGGGGGGGCTGCGTGAATGTCACAGCTGCGGGTTTCAGAGATACCAGCTCTGTGCCTCGTTTTAGAGCAGGCGCCTGGGGCTCTGAGACACGCAGGGTGCTGCGAGGTCATTGTGCCCTGGTGTCACGCCTTTACAGGGGCCACCGGGATGGGAGCCGTGCAGGCTGCCCTACGGCGGGTTCAGGCCACACGTCCTCCTGACGGGCACGGGGCGGGGCTGTGCATTTATGCCCGCGGCCAAGCCCTCTGCACTGTGCCCAGGACAGGACCCGCTCACGGGGCTGCGCGCCAGGGCCAGCCACGGAGCTCTGCCACCCTATCAACCGCCTGCTCTGCTTTGCTAAAGATTAAGCTCAGGAATGACCTTGGGCTGACCTGTGGGGGACTCAGAGACTCGGTCTCATAAGAGCCCAGGTATTCGCGCCTGGGTGTCCGAGGCTAACGGATTCTTGCAGCGGCTCTCGGCTGTCTGCTTCCCCCCTGCAGCTGCGGCAGGGCTTCTGGGGGTGTGGGTCCCTGGCCTGCCCGCCGGGGGAGCTGGAGGGGGGGGGGCGGTCAGGCTCCCGCCAAAGCGAGGAGCCAGACACCGCTGTTTGGCTGGCGAGGGCCTGCTGGGGAAAAGACGAGAGAACAAAGGACCCGGGTGTCCATTCGTCCTCTCCGATCTGCGAGCTGCCTCCATGGGGGCCGAAGGCTCTGGGTGGCATCCCTGAGACACAGGTCTCCTGGGGAAACCTGTCTCCCGATACCACAAGCATCAGTCAGCAAGTCCTGCCAGGACCAGGGGAAACCCTTCCTCTAACACGGGGAGAACGAGGGCTCCCTTTCTGGGATGGAACCCAGAGGAAAATATGAGGATTGGGGGCGGGGAGGGGGAAAGG